GTGTCAGATGGGATAACATGACATATGAGATTAGAAATAAAGCATAATGGACAATAACATACTGGAGGGATAGATGGATGTGCATATACCAACAGGAAAAAAGATCATTTCAAATGGATAAATTTACTCCCTAGTCTCTGCACCTAGCTTGTTGCTTCAAAATAAGACAACCAAAAATAGAATTTTATCATCCATGGAATACACTTCTTTGAGATGCTAATGGTAATGGTGCCAATCTCAAGCTACCTCCATTTTTCATAATTAACATTACCATCATCACTCAAAAGCATAAAATACCTGAACCCCCACATATATGGAGGTGCTTGGGGACTTGATGGTAAGAAGCCATGCGAAGACATGGGAGAATAGGTCTGTTTGAAAACAAGCACCCACATGATAAATCAAGACTGAACACATAAGCAAAAGAAAAAGAACTTAAACTAAAGCCCTTAGTTTTGAGAACTTGAAACCCAGACCATTATGCATTGACTGTGCCAGCACTAATGGTCAAAGACTGCTTTTGCGGAACACAAATGCATTAAGGAATTAGAACTAACCCAAATGAGAGGAACATTTAATCTACAAAATCTGCAAAAATACCTGTGTATTAGTAGCAGGTGACATCTTTGGCTCTTTCTCTTTTGAAGTTTTATCCAACTCACTGCTACCCATTGTTTTATACCCCCAACTTCTAAAACTCCCTCAAACCATCCTAAGAACAAAACATCATTTCCATTATATCCTATACTTCTTTGGTAACAAACTTCTTATACATATGGCATGTACTAATACTGCAATAGCCAACCATATTAACACAATGTGAACCATATCCTCAATATATTTGCGTAATTTTGATTAAAAATGATGGCATTGTCCCAATTAAGTAAAAGGGTTTTTTAAAGCCCTAGAAATGAATAACAAATCATAAAATTTCCAATAGCCTTTACTTTCCCACGTTTCCTTATAATCAAACAAATCATCTATAACCTAGACAAATTGGGTGATATACAACCCCTGATATATAAGAAAATGAAGAGATAGCATGCGTTCATGGAGAGTAAAAGAAGAGAAATGATTAATCAACACCTAAAAGAAATGCTAAAGTAAAAGCTAGATCTACAATTAAGTTTTGATTCTTACAAGATATATATGCTATAAAGTTTTAGCATTCCTCAATGTTTTATCATTGTGTCAAAACAACCATTTTCTTCGCTCTGCATGATTTTGGCCAATTTGCTGTGGTATCATCCATGTTGTGACTAGTTGAATTACAATTTTGATGTTTCAGGTAGAAATTTTTGTTCCAACCATGACAACTCCTCTGAGTGCTATTGCTTGTGTTGTTGTTATGCTGTTTGCGGAATCTGCTTTCAAGATTCTGAGTTTGTTCCATTAAAGGAGAAGAAAGGGTTCAACAAAAAGTGCTTAGAACTAGCTGTACATGTGGAAAACAATACAAAAGATGACCGCATAGTGTTATGCTATTATTTTAAAATCTACAAGTTGGATTATTTGCCAAATATTACCTTTTCTAGGACAATATCATTCCCTTTATAATTGGCATTAACACTGTCTAAATTTAATGATATTCTTAAATTTTAAAAAGTAAAAGAATAAAAGGAAGCTAGGTTGTGAAAAAAGAAACAAGAATGATAGAGATCCTGATGTGATGGAGTTCATAATAATGTCATAGATGATGGTTTTTTAAAATGAGACGGAATTTTAATGGCATGTCTTCTTCTCTTTCTCTTGTATATAATGCTCAAGTTTATTATATTTGTTTATGACTTTATGGCTGTTTGTTTATGTATGACAAGATCAACTCAGATTCAAACTCAAACTCAGATGAGATGGATTCATAAGATGAAGAAGAAAGAGAGGAACTCTTATTCAAAGAGTATCTAGAAATAATAATGGAGCAAGAAGGATTAGCAATTGATGACTTACGTAGTGCTCAATTGAAGATTGAGCAATACAATGGTGGCAAAAAAAGATGCTTGAAATATTAGATAGCGAAGATGAGAATATAAAAGGAAGGAGTTCAAGGGAGAAAGGTGAATGTGTCATGGCACCATGCAAGAAGCAAAAAGCATTAAACAAAGATAGAATCCCCCCAGCAAAAGAAGGTGGACATTACTGAATTCCAGAAGGGTTGTTTGGCATCTATAGTTCTTGAAAATATCAAACTTGTGTACTTAAGAAGGAGCTTAGTAGAGAAGCTACTAGTGCAACAGCCCGATAATTTTGAGGACAAGGTTGTGGCAAGTTTCATTGGTGTTAAAAGAGAGTCTGGAAATGGTTCAGGGAGGAAATCTTACCATCTTCTGCAGGTTATAGGAATTAGTGGTTCATCTGTTTTGGTTAACTTTTGTTAATCCCTCACTTGTATTATATCTGGACCATGGATGTTCTTTGAACATGAAGCAGTGTTATATATCATTGTTGCTTTGTCTTTGATTTTGATTCTTTTTTAGCTGTACATACGCTTTCAAGCATAAAGAAAATTGAAGATGTAAAGATGAATAGGGGTGTTTTTCCTTTAAGTTTCTGGTATGGAACTTGATGTTCACAAATCCACGCTGTCTGACGATGGCATCTCAGAGGTAAACAAAAATATATGTTCACATATCCACGTTATCATATGTCATTCTAAATTTCTTACAAACCTAGATATACTTGTCTTGAGTTTGGTTCTGACTTGGTAAAAGAGTGTCATGGTATTTTCCTTCCTTGGGGTTGATGTCTAGCAAGAACTGTGTGCGAATGTGTTAGAAAGTGAAAGATGGTCTGCTCAAAGAACCCACTGTTGTAAGTTAATTCACAGGATTATTATGCTGTCATAGAAATTACATTACATATGATGTGAAGCTGGGGTTCACAATATTGGATTTGTTTGACACTTTGACAGAAGGAGCTTGAACAAAAGGCAAGAATTTTGCATCAAGATATAACAAAGGATACATAATGTATCATAATGTATTCCTAACTCTCAACAGGATTTTCGAATGAGTTATTTGGCAGTTTTATTCAAATGATTAATTGATTAATTAATTTAAACAATTGCTTGCAATTTTTGCAGTGGATTGAATGAGAACTGGTCAGATTACAAAGTCAGAGAGCCACATATCCTTTTTCTCATGCTTTACTTCACAGATTACTAGGCTTAGTATGTGTTAATTACTCATGTTAGGCCTTAACTACTAAAACTAATTGGAAGGAAAATTTAAACATCTACTCGTAATTTTGGTTTTCCTCATGCAAATTATTTGTTGCGAGTGATAGTGAACCTTGACCTTCATTGATTTGAAACATTATATAGATGCTTATGCGAATTACAACGACATAAGGACCCATCCGAACAAAAAAGCTTATTACAAGAGTTGCCTTTTGTTACTCTAGAAATTGAGGAAGTCAATCCAACTGCTGAGCATTCTAATGGAGAGTTTTAAACAGAGTTTGTAACGCCCACTAGATACGTGGAGAATATGCTATAAACTTTAAACATCAAATGTTTTTATTAGCATAAACTGAGTTTTATGACATTTAAATTCGGATATCTCGTTGTTTTTGTAAACCTAATGCTGATGTCTAAACTGACTTTTGAATGGTAAATGAAATCTCGACATTGTCACTAACTGCGGATGTAACTGTAATATATACTTTTTTAAATTCTCGAGTACACAACAATGTTAAATTAACATACTAGAAAATAATGAGAAAGATCAAATTACAATTGTCACACCTCAAAACTGGGAGCAAAACAAATGTTATACACTTGAGAGAGGATCCCACGAATGTACTAAGCTCGAAACCTACTAAATTCATAATGTATAATTCATAACTATCAATCCACTAAATTAAGATCTACAATCTCAAAATAAAATTTATCAATAAGGTCAATCTCCTAGGGGATCTAATCTCCAATGATCTATCTTTCAATATTTATGTCCAAAAATATAGGTAACTAGCGGTCTAACTTAAGGATGGCAATTTCCCTTGATCCCCGTGGGACCCTATGGGGATCCCATCACGAGAATGGGACGAGGAAGAATATTCCTCCCCACGAAACAAGGATAGGGAGCATTTTCCTCTTGCAAAATTTCGTGAGGAATTTTCCCCGGCCCCACAAAAATTAAAACAAATATAAATTAATTTTATTTTAAATTTAATTCACTTTTCAAACTCAAACCCAAACCCAAACTCAAGTTCAAATCCAATTCAATCAAAATTAAACTTAATTCAATTTTACCCAACCCAATCCATTCCCCTACATATATTTAATCCTAACCCTAATTCATTTCTCAATTTTCATTTTCACCTTCCCCGACTTGCCCTCTCCTATTATGCGACTCTACCATTTGAATGCCTTCCATTCCATTGCCACCCTTCTACGATTCTACCCTTGCCCTTCCCAGTGCTCACCTTTTGCCGCCCCTTGTTTTCTCCTTTGCATCCATCGAACCATCTCAAATCCCATTCCCTCCACTGCACTACTGGTCTGTTGCTGTCGAAGCCATCTGCCTGCTGCTGCCAAACTATCGAAGCCATCTACTTGCTATTGCAAAACTGTCAAAGCCATCTGCTTTCTGCTATCTAGATTGCCGAAGCCATATGTGGTTCTATTGTAGCCTTGCCCTTCTTGGTATTGATTTTCTTTATTTTCAAAATACTAAATTTTTTTTTATGTTGGTTTAATTATTTTATTTATGTTAAATTAATTTTT